TTGGCGAACAAGTATATGGCAAGACTGGAGGAACACTTCCTACAAGAGGCAATACTAACCCCCAAATTGTTGGTTAGATACGCGGAAGACTATTTTGTCATCTGGCCTTATGTTAAGGAAAGTTTATATAGTTTCCTACTTTCACTCAACCAACGTGAAAAGAACATTAGGTACACGGTTGAAATGGAAGAGAATAAGTCCTTACTCGTTCTGGATGTTTTCATCATTATAGAAGAGGCTAGGTTAGGAAGATATGTTTATAGACAGCCAACATATATTGGCTCCTTACTTAATTTTCCTTCTAACCATAGTTACAAAACTAAGGTTGGAATTTTGAAGTCATTAATTCTTAGAATTATGAGGCTAGCGGATAGCAAACATTTGACTAAAGAGTTGGAAAAGCTGACAAATGTATTCCTGGAAAATAATTATCCTTTGGACCTTATTGAGAATAATTTCTCTCTACAGAGGAATACATTTTCAGACGGAAACCATTTAGTCAAAGATAGACAAGCGAAGACCATTTCCCACATCTTAATTTTACTATAATGCCTTCTCTCAAAAAAGATAGGCGAATTAGTAAGAAACTAGGGGATAAAAACAGTGTTGAAAGAAACCCTCACACTTTCTTCTGTTATACTATCTTTTAAAAAGAAATATGACCCATTATCGACATTCGGTTGCTACAATATTGTTTGTTAATGCGGCCGATCTTATGTTGGTAAGGCATGCCGACCTACTCGACAAGGATTAGGGGAACATTTAAATGCTTGTAAATGAAGCTGTATCCAACGGTCACAATGGCTGAACAGATGGTAGAAACTGGACATAAGATTAAATGGTCTCAAACTAGTAGGTTTGCTGAGTATGGTATGGCTGCGATTAAAAGAAATATAAGAGTGGCTACTGAAATTAATAGAATAGGAAATGCGTTGAATGCGAAGAATGGTGGTAGTAAGTTGAGTAGGAACTACTTAAGCTTGATTGATAGATTGAAAGTAGAGGTGTTGAACCGTCATCCAAAATGTGACCAGAATAAAGATAACTAACAAAACTATTCTATATCGATCAATCTTTTTAATTTATCTTTTGCTTAAATGAGACTATATAAGAGGTAAGATGGAGCCGGATTGTATTCTTGTGTAAGTGTTTACTTGGGAATTTTACAAGAATGCGTCCAAGCTCTGATGATGTCCATGATATGGTGTACGAAAGCTTAGCCCATTTTTACCTGAAAAGAGGGAGAAGGTCTCGTGGACTGTATCAATCTCAACGTTGTATAAAAACCAAAAGGATGCAGTACAACGGGATTCAACCGTCCTCTTCTGGTGGGATTGACCTTCAAATCTCTTCTTTATACAGTTTCATACGAAATGAAAGTCCCCACTATATGTAAAATTTAATGGAAACATCAACTCTACTCAAAACATTGTGGGAAAATTCGGCTACCAGTCCTTCATCATCTTGAAGAAAATAGGGTGAATTCATCTCATATTACTGTTTTACTGGTAGTCTCGCAACTCTATTAACTTATGAAAAATAATAAATGATAATCTATATAATCAAATAACAATTTCAGAGTCAATAAAGCTTCATCCATTTTTTAAGGCGAAAGTTTAAAGACCAAATGGAACACAATTACTTCTGATAAGATCGACCTAAGAATCTATTGCCTACTCAAATAAAAATCAAGTCATTACCGAAAGGAACGTCCGCTTTTGGCCATCAAGGTTTGAGGACCCTTATCTCCCCTTTTCTACATACATGTTATAACCATCACTCCGATTGCGCACGGTCGGACACTCGTCTGGATTTGTTGATGAACCTATTTTTTGTTTTGTTCTCAATGCGAGAAAGAGTGAGCTAAAAGTACAGAGAAGTGGCTATAATTAGAAACAAAATAAGAAAAGACTTGTTGCCTCGCCTCCTTTTTGCAGACGACTCAACTTCCTCTCTATGCTTGAGTCTATTAGTTAAGCACAAATAATTTGTACTTATCTTCTTGCCGGTATTCCTTACACTCAAAGTACTTCCTATTCGGTTTATTTCTATGGCTTCTCTAATTTTACGTTTAGCCGCAAACATACCATAATCAGCAAAACGACAACTTTGAGACCATTCAATCTCGTGTTCTGTTTCTGGCCTGTGCTCAGCCAGTTCCCATTTCTAAACCCAACAGCATTTGTATGCACTTTTGTGCTCAGCCAGCCTTTGCCGAATGGGACGAAAAGTCTCTCCAACATAAGAGCGACCACATGAACACATTATTTTGTAGCAACACGATCTGGAGAATGGGTCAATTTTCTCTATAAAAGTAGGAATGACTGAAGAAAGTGTCGTAATTTCCCTGAAGACCGTTTTTATTCCCCACTTCCTTAGTGCTCACCTCTCCTTTTAGAGAGAACGCACGAGGGTTAAAGGCAAAACATGAGAAAAGGTCTCCTTATCTCTCCTTACGTATTCACCATTCAAAAAGCTATTCTTTATTAATCTAGTGCTATTTTCAATCAAGCCTATGAGATAGTTACTCTCAATAAATATTATTTTAAGCCGATTCATTTCATTGTCACAATGGTCTACATCGGCTAGTCTTATGCTCTGAAAAATCATAGATTTTAAAACTGCAACCTTTGTTTTGTAACTATGATTGGAGAAGAAGTTAAGTATAAAGCCAGCATGTGTTAGCTTTCTATAGACATCCCTGCTTAACTATTCACCTGCTCTGATCACTAAGACATCTAAAAAGGTTAAACTGTTGCTAACCTCCATCTCCATTGTCAACTCTATATTGCAATCAATCTGTTTAATTAAAAATAAGAAATTATCTAAACTATCCTTGCCATGCTGCCATATGGCAAAGTAGTCATCCATGCATCTAACCAACAGTTTCGGTGTCAATCTTACTTCTTCCATGTTTCTCCCTTCTTTACATGTAATTATTTGCTAAAATGGGAACCAAGCAACATCCCATTGCCAGGCCTTGCACCTGTTCATAAACTTTATTATTAAAGGTGAAGTATATGCTGCCCATGGATAGATTAAGAAGCCTTAAGATTGATCCTTTGCTCAGATTTCCCTCCCCAATAACTTTTGGGTGCTCATCTAGTCTGAGTGTAAGTGCTTCAATAGCTTTCTGAACTGGGATGTTAGTATGCATTGATACCACTTTAAAACTAATCAAAATATCTTTCTCTTTAATACTCTGTTGATCTATTAATCTTGCAAATTCATATGAATTTTTCACTGAATATTTCCAATACTCAGCCAAATGCCTTAGTTTTCTTCATAGGAAACGTGAGATCCTATGCATCATAGTACCCTTGTTATTAATAATCAATCTTAAAGGAACTCTTTCCTTGCGTATTTTTGGAAGGCCATAAGCCGAAGGTGTTCTAGCATCCCTGTGAAGAAGTGAATTCATTTTCCACTTCTCTATTTCTCCTCTGCTTACACAAAAGTGAAGCGATTCGATAAGTTTGGCCTTAAGACTTTCTGTGGGATCGTTCAGTAAAAGTCTGTAAGTTTCTGACTCATTTAAATGAACCATCATTTTTTCTATATAACTTAACCTATCCATGATGACCACTGTACCACCTTTATCTGCCTTTAAGACAAACAGATCATTTTGGTGCAAATATCTAGAAACTTTATTCAAGTCATACGATTTCTTTTGAATAATTACTCCATCAAAATAAAGAATCACTTCTCTTTCTATACTATTCTTAGTCTGTTCTGGCAGCTTGTCCGTTAATTTAATTAACTCAACCAGTATATCCATAGAATGATTTTGCTCATTTGGAAATGCAAATTTTAAACCGCTTTCCAAGAAGTATGTAACATTAATGACTTTATTTTCGCTAGAAAAAAGAGTACTAAGTTTACCTACCTCCTTATTGTTCCAACGATTCCTTTGGCTGATGTTGATGCCTAAATTCCTCAATTTTTTATCATGTCGGGATCTATGGATCCTATCCATCCGTCTTCTGGTGGAACCGACCTTCGAATCTCTTCACCCAACACTTTCACTCGAAATGTAAGTAAGCTCAACAAAAATAGGTTTGCCTTATCATCAAGGCGAATTTGAAAAGGTCTGGCTTCCCTTGAAGATTGAATCAGTCCTGTGACCCAATGGCTCCCCCGCTGCTGGTCAACATTATCGCTTGACACGAACAACCCGAGGTCCAATCCCTCCGAGGGTGTTGATGAAACCCAGGCGATGTGTAAACGGCAGTACAGGTTGGGTGACAAAGCCATTTGGAATGCAATACATAGGCTTCTAAACATTTGATTATGTGAAATAAAGCTAGAAGTCTAATATTTGGTGACTAAATATTTCTTCAAGGTCGATTGATAATTTTGAAACCTACTAATTCATAAAATTCAGTTAATTTCAATGAAATAGTGTTAAGACTTGACTCCCAACATAAAGGTTAGGAGAAAATCTTGGTATATTCTCATCCTGAGCGCTGGATATAATCCATAGCACAAACATTCAAATATGACCAAGCCAAAACAAATGCACATTCTTCCGCCTTCGCCATCTGGTTTGAGTTGCACATGAACCACTTAGCATTGAATGTATCCTCTTCTCCAGCGGCCTGTTCTTGTCTGTCTCTGTCGTTTGGAGATAAAGATTGGACTTCTTCTGAGCCTCAGATTCCTTGCAACCCTGAAGAGGAGTTCAGATAGATCTACTAACTCTCTCTCTCTCCTACTGCCGCTTTGGGGCACCAGATGTAGCTTCGCTTCACTGGGCCACTTCGATTGCACCCTCTATTGTGGTTCCGGTTTCGCTCCTGACCGGATGCACCACCAGCGAAGTTGTCGGCCTCTTCAAATCAGAGAGGCGTGCTCAGTGTTGCGATGCCACTTGTT